GCGCCCTGGGGGATGGAACGCAAAATTATTCTCTTTTTTCATTATTTTTATAATTTCATTTCGTTTTATGGTTATTTTTTAAGGGTAGTTCATCAAAGGTAACATTATCAACTGAAAAATATATTAATCATATAATACAGATCAAGGAATGTTATTATCATCTACTGAGATTTTTTTCTCGAGGACATAAAGTGCGAATGAATAACAGACGCATTTTATACACTAAAATTTACCGTGCAGAAGGTGCAATAGTTGCTGAAACCCAGGAATGGACTGAACAGGCTAGCCAGATGTACGAGAATTCCTCAACCACATACACAAAGACCCTCAGACGAACAGAACACGTAGAAGGAATAGGCGACTACTGAGTGGAACGGAAACGGTTTTGGTAGAATGCAGGCAACCCAAACACAAACAAAAGATATCTAAACGTGAAGTAGAAATGAAGAAGAGCTATTACCAGATACGAAAGAATGAATAAAATAGAACAATTACCAATGGAATGAGGCGCAGATTTTTTTCTTTCCTTTTTTATGATACTCCGCCCTCGTTAAGTTTAAACAAAGACTAAAAGAAAGGCATGCATGAGGACACGGAGCGGGCGGCGTCGAGATGCCATCCGCGAGGGCCGTGGGTTAGGGCGGCGAGGAGCCAGCCGAGGAGACAGAATCTACGGCCTACGTAAGTCGAGACCAGCACCGGAACCGCCCCCTTCGCCGACGCCGACCTCACCTGACTCTCAAAGACGCCCTTATCCTGCCACCAGAACCCCCCCTCCTCCTGCTGCTGTTGCTGCTGACCCACCTGGCCCTCCTGCTGCTGCTGCTGGACGCCCGCGCCGCCGTACTGGGGCAGGGCGTGGGATGCCCCGGAGGCGAGGAGAAGCAAAGCGCAGGCCAGTCCACCGGCCCTCATCTGAAGGCAAACGAAAACAAGTTAGTACGCTGATATAATGACTGAAGATTATGCCGCGTGTGAATCTGAAAATCGAGAGAGATTATCCATAAAAAAATAATAGATTCTTTCAATGAAGATGCGAGACAAAGGCCGGTCTCCGTGTCTTCATATGGGAGAAGAGGCCGTCGAGACATGAAAGAATGATAAATACTGACAAGATATAGGAAAAATATCGATATATGATGAATGTTTTGGGATGAAAAAAGAGACAATGAGCGTTTAACAAATGTGAAAAGAATAGACGTTGAAGACATGATTTCCACACTTATCGTCTTCCTCCATTATGACGAGAACAAAAGAAAAATGCAATGTCCTTATCCGTCTTTCACCTTCGCATAATTGCAAATCCTTGAATACATTACATCATGCTTTATATCAAGGGTAGTATCGATAGCATTAATTTAGTTTCAATCATATTTTTTTCATATCATAGCCCATAAACAGACAATAAAAATAATGTAGCCTATGAAATATTGACGATAAATATTGATAATAGGAGTTTAGTGAATATGCCAATCTTGTTGGGCGTCTGCAACATTGCATTCCGTTGCGACTTTGTTGTTCTCAATTCATATCTTAGACTGCTGTTTGAAACTATGGATAAGTGCATTATCAAGCTCTTAAGTATTTATCTATTTCTCTAACCTTACTTCAGATACCCAAAATTATTTACAAGGTCTATTTTCTCGCTTTCGTTTACCAACTCAAGAAAAGAATGAGATTAAATGACATATTTGTATTGAATCCGCAAGATTATTAATGATGTTATATGTATGTATGTATTTTTTCGATAAATTGTTCTTTAGCTCCTTTTTATATGCTTACTTAATAATTTATTTAGTCACCGCACTCCAGGCCACTGAGAAGAAAAGAAATACACTACCATACGTATATTTTATCTTCCACTCCTCACGAATCGAGAAATATACTATGCTTTAAAACACTCCAAACGCTGAGATAGAGAGAAGCCCACCTTTTCGTTGTCTTCCCTTGCGGAGAACTGACGACGACGCCGAATCTCGCCGGGTTTATATGGACAGGTGAGTTGGGGGGGGGGATGGGGGTGGAGGAGGAGAGGGATGGGATGGGGGTGGAGGATGCTGAGATCAGATCGGAGGGAGATGGGGGGAGGGGCTGTGGTGGAGGAGAGGGAGGAGGAGGGGCAGGACGAGGGCTCTGAACGACACTAACCCCCCCCCCCACCTCTCCCTCTCTCATTTCCTCTTCTACTGTCTCCCCTCTCACCTCAACCCCCTTCTTTCCTCTTTTATCCCCTCCCCTCTCTCACTCCCCTCCTTCTCCTCCTCCCCCCTCACCACCTCATCTCTCAACCCCCCTACTCCCCTTCCTAACCCCGCCCCCACCCCCCTCGAGGCGACTCACCACCTCACGCGGACTTCCCAGGTTGGATAGAGACCGGTTATTCTAATGACCAGACCTTCGTTTCATCAAAGATGCATCGAACATTGTGATTTTGAGGTGGTTAATTTAAGAGCTTGATCTTGGTTCCGGCCGAGTCGTGATTATCCATTGTCTCGGGCCT